CCGCCCGCCGCCTCCGGTGCCTTCCTTCCCCGGCGGCTCCCCGGCGGCTCCCCGGCAACGCCGGAAGTCACCCGAGGGCAACGACCTAAGCGGCCCGGCGGGAAACAAGGGACCGCCACGACAGGGCCCCTGCCTAGAAGTGGACGCAGGGGGGTGGGGGGAGGGGGAGAAGAGGAAGAGGAGGGGAAGGATGATGATGATGATGGGTTGAGGATCATGGCGGGAAGAAGGCTCGAGCCCGGGGGTGCGGGGGAAAGGTAAGCTCCTGAAACGAGGAGGACGCTGGGCTCCTGGAAGAAGCCCTTTTCCTCGCTTTCAGTCACACCCCCCCCCGATTCCTCTTCTCGAGGCAGTCCTCCCTCTGCAGAGGGTTTTTGGACTACACCGCCCATCATCCCCCCGCCCTGGGCTCGAGGAGAGGAAGGTTAAGACGGGAGGTCCAAGGTTTCCTCTCGTCTCTGCCTGAGTGGAGACCTTGGGGTGCGGGGATGAGCCGCTGTGGATAAAAAAAAACTCCTGCAGTTACGACTTGGTCATCCTTTCTATTTCTTTCCCATTCCTGGGTGTTTCTATTTATTTACTTATTGATGTCTGTATGGATTTAGGGCGACCTAAAGCCCTCCTGCTTGCTTTTGGGCGGCTGCATCCCATCAGCTGTCAAAACGGGCAGTACTGGATGAGGGTTAGGCTGGTCAGAGATGTGGGACTCCAGGGTTTAAGAGACCTGTACTGGTTGCCAGTTGCCTTCTTGCCCCAATTAAAGGTCTTGTTTACAAACGGGGATGTGGATTGCCTGTAATGCCTCTCTCAGCCCCCCCCCCCCACAAATTCTATTTCTTTAAAGGCTTTACATGTCTCCTTGTGCTCTACACTGTGGGAGGCAGAATCCCTACCCTATACATGGTTTTAAAAAAACGGCATCTAGAGGGTTTGAGGACACTGTTTTCGGAATCCTTGCTTTCCAAAGGAAAAATAAATAAATGAAAGTGAGACTAGGTGTAACCCTCTGAGGTGCAGGAGTGAGGCATTTGTGGCTCACTTTCTTTGGAAGGGGTGCCCTTCAATGGCTTGCGTTCTAGCTAGCCCCCCCCAAATTCTATTTCTTTAAAGGCTTTACATGTCTCCTTGTGCTGTACACTGTGGGAGGCAGAATCCCTACCCTATACATGGTTTTAAAAAAACGGCATCTAGAGGGTTTGAGGACACTGTTTTCGGAATCCTTGCTTTCCAAAGGAAAAATAAATAAATGAAAGTGAGACTAGGTGTAACCCTCTGAGGTGCAGGAGTGAGGCATTTGTGGCTCACTTTCTTTGGAAGGGGTGCCCTTCCATGGCTTGTGTTCTAGCTAGTTCATTATAAACCTCTTGTTTAAACCAGGTGTTAAGATCTGGAAGAGAATATGCTTGAGAATACCAGCAACTGTGGATGGGCGCACAAAGCGGGAATTTCTCTTCTGATTGCTCACGGATTGTGAGTTACAACCCACTTTTCCACTCTCACTGCTTTTAGGAAAGGGTTGCCTACAGAACTCTTCAAACTGGCCTTCTCAAACTGTTTGATGTTTGTGTGTTCTGTGCCATCACGTTGGAATTGACTGAATAGCGATCCTAATAAGGCTTTTAAGGTACGTAGGGTGAGATATCTAATGATTGGTTTTATCAGTTCCACTACCCCAGTGACTTTCTATGGTTGAACAGGGATTTGAACCCTGTTCTCCAGAATCTTAGTCCGTCACTCTGTCCACTGCACCACTTTGGGATACATACTGAGTTTGATATTTAGTGAGTATTAAAGTTTCATGATTTCATTTTTATATTTTAATTGCTTTATTGTTCAGCTGGTCTTTAACTGGTTCATTAGTCTTGTGTTTAAAGACATTTTAAATCTCTTTTCAATTATGTCTGAAAGCCACCTTGAATGCTATTACTTAATGGAAACTGGGTAGAAATGAAATAAATTAATTAAATGTAGAAGTGGTTGAATTGCTTGACCTACATTAATCTGTTGTAGTTCATAAAACAGTCTTAGAAGGGGGGGAATAATGATGCTGAATGAAGCTTACCACCCGTGGCAGAGAGAAGATAAGAATGGATATGAATTAGCGCCCTCTGAAGCAAAGATAACTTTCTTCTCTTGCACATTTTGCTTCTCTGTCATAGAGTGATCTGGGAATTCTCAAATATTCGTTATCTGGAGAAAGGTGATAATAATTTGTATAAATACGTCGACTGCTCGGATTATTTTGTTAGGAGAGAAATCCATGTATCTATGTGATTCATGCACAGAAATAAAAATATAGGTTTGATAATATTTAAAAAGTGGCAAACAGGGTGGTATTTATTTTCCAGACATAGCTGTTATAATAATTGGTTGGCTAGGAAAGAAACTTGCTATAACTGTAAAAGTAAATTAAAATAATTACAACCCCACAGTAAAGAGAAGAAGACAGTTATCATTTGTAACCTAATGATCATAATATAAAATAGTTATGTCTCTGAGCTATACAGTAGTAGAAAAAATAAAGAATGTTGTTAGTTATAACTAGTAAGATTCAAGTTCCACTCTAGTCCATTATATAAAATTGCCTACTTGCATCTCACATAGATGGATGTGAATATTGGAGACAGAATGGGAACATTACTTTTTGGGATTCAAATTTCTAGAATCCCATTCTAGCATGGATTTTGTACTACAGCTTCCAGAATCGCCCTGCTGGCTTGCACCAAGCTGCTTGTTACATTGAAACAGAGAACTGGCACATTTAATCCAGTTTTATTTTGTGCAACTGGCAGCTACTCTCCTAAGATTCTGGAAATGAAGTTGGTATTTAAGTCATATGCAGGAGGTACCCTACCACTTAGTGAAAGCTTTGATTCCAGTTTCCCCTCAAGACCCAGTAATTCCTAGCAGATGGATAGAGTTATTTAACTTATGTGCGGCCGCACTACCCAAAGGTCTCTGTATATGCTGTAACTATACTTACAAAAAGGTAGGGGGATGTAGAGAAAAACTGAAATTATGCAGACAATATTATACACCCCATATCCTAGATTGTAAGATCTGATCTCATTGACTTCAGTGGGATTTGCTTCTACATACTAGCCTCACCCAACGTGACACCCCACCCATCTTGGACTACAGGTCCTATCTGCCTCAGAACGGGTGGGATTCCTAATCTGAAACATCTGGAGGGCTCTGATGACAACATCTGCTGTCTATACACCAGCAAGTCTAGGCAAACCAATGATGATGAGAATTGACAGTCACTGAACTGGAGTTCAGTGACTGTCAAGAGTTCAGTGACTAACAAGAGAAATTTCTCTTGTTACTAATTCTGGGATTTTTAAAAAAACTGATTCGTTTGAAATATGGTGCCAAAGGAGAGCTTTGCAGAAAGACATCTAGGACCCAAGCAAGTGGGTCCTCGATGAACATCAAGCCTGAACTATCTCCGGAGACAAAAAGGCTTAAGCTGAGGTTGTCCCACTTTAGGTGCATCATGAGGAGACAGGACTACCTGGAAAAGACAGTAACGCTGGGAAAGGTGGAAGGCAGCAGGAAAAGAGGAAACTCATATACAAGATGGAATGACTTCTTAAATGAACCCACAGGCTGGGGTTTGCAGGAGCTGAGCTGAGTTGAAGACAGGACATGTTGGAGGTCTGCCATTCATAGGCGACTTGACAGCACATGACAATAAACATTAATGATACATAGGACGGTGCCAACAGATGCATTTGATAGGATATAATGAGGTTCAGTTTAGGCTGCAACCTATAAGACCACCTGGAGTCAGTTTCAAAGCAGTTTATGAGCAGAGGGAATATCCTACTGCTGCTTCGGCTTTCCCTTATTCTCAACCCTAATGTTGAATACCTCTTTTTTAAAAAAAAGTCGCTGGGAGGAAAAGGATAGAAGAGAACCACAGAAACGGGGGTGGGGAAATTTTCTAATTAAAAAAAAAGGCACACGGCGTGAAAACACGGCCGCTCTCAGCCCATGAGCGATGATTGTCTCGGAACCTTTGAGGTGGGGCTCGCGAGCGGGGAGAAGCCTAATTGCGGGAGGGACGAGGTGCGCCGCCGGAACTGTCCCCCCTTTCGGGACGACGCTGGGTGTCCGGGAATCAGCGGCCGAAGAGAAAGACATGTTCGCCTCGCGTGTTTGGAGCCGCCTTGGCAACCGGGTCGGAGGGTCTTCGCTCAGGTAGGGAGCAAGGGGAAGGACGGGCTGGATCGCTTCGTCTTCAGTGTTTTCTTTCGGCTGCAGAAAAAAATAACACACACAAACACAACACGTGCTTGACCCTCGGCGTTGTCCATTTAGGGCCAGACATGACTTGCTCTCTGGGGGGTTGATTGGCTTTGGTCTCTCTCTCTCTCTCTCTCTCT